TAACATTTTCCAAGTTTCTTGTGGATGGGGAAAAAGAAGAGGCCTGATAATTTTCACTTCTCAGAATAACTGCACAACATACAGTGGCTTTGGTTGCAAAACTAGTTTGGGTTTCTACAGAGTTTTATCTTTCGAAATCTGTCTTCAGATAAACTCAGAAAAACCTACTACTCATCAAAACTAAAGAAAATTACAAATAGCTTGTAGCACTTCAGGTAAATCTGGATTGTCTTGAAAGGTTCATGAACTTGAGGAGTTCAGCCCAGAATACAATATGTAGTTTTCCTTAACTGCTGAATCACTGTCTGGGGGAAGTTATTAGCAGGGCAAACAGGAAATACAAGATTTTTGATGTCCCTTCCAACCCAAACCATTCTATGATTCTGTGTTTGGGTTTTTTTTTCTGGCTTCATACTTTTAAGTTTCATCTGGGAGCATAAGATCACAGTAAAGCACCTCATGAAATTTGGTGTTTGCCTGCCCGTGCTGAGGTAGGTGTTGCTTTCACCTGTTTATAAAATTCCTGAGATGCTGCTTTTTTCCTTCTTGTATCTTGAGTAAAACTCCATCTAATTTACCCCAGACTGGGATTTGCCTGTTTTGGTGTCAGTGACATGTCGGTTCATTCACAGTTCATGGTATCGCAGCTCCTCTGCTACAATATTCTTGCCTCCCCATTAATTCCCTATTTTCTACTTTGGCAGTTGATTCCTTCTTACTAAATGTAGTGTTTTGCACCTGTCTGTTGACTTTCATCCCATTGATCTTGGTCCATTTCTCTGGCTGTCCAGATCACTTTGGATTCTGATCTCCCATGAGGCGGAACAGACCCCCCCCGCCCCCAATCTCTGTCTCTGATTTGTCATAAAAAAATTAACCAAGTTGTTCTTGAGGGGTTAAACTGATCAAGCCTGCTTTCCTCAGGACTTTGTTCCACATCCAGCACAATATCCCCAGGTAACTACAGGCAAAAAAATACTTAATCACTGGGACAAAACAGCGTCATACACATCGAACGCCTTCTCCCCAGCTGTGTCCTTGGAAGCGAGTTAAGACTCTGAAAGAGAAAATATCTGCAGTTTATATTCTTATATGCTCTTCATTGTTTAAATTTCTCGAGTTTGTGGTTCTTAAGGCTCTACTGCGAAACTTTGAAGGTCGTTTTAATTGCACTCTTATTTATAAATGGCTTTCTTGGCCACACGGTGCCACTCACAGCAGATTAAACCTGAGACTCTATCTCTGCCTTTGTTTTATGGGAGAGATTGATAAGTGATTTACTCTCAGTAGAATGGTTTAGAAATGAGCTCTTAGATAAGTGATCAGAAAAAGAGGTTTTTTCATATGGAATTATTTTCCACAGAGAAAAAATGGGTTGTTTTTCTAAATACTGAAATAAGGATGCAGGGACCGGATTCTCAGCTGGAGTAAGTTAACAGAGTCAATATTGATTTACACCAGCTGCAAATATTTTCCCCATAATATTGTTCCTTGTACTGTAATTTTCTCTAATGCAAACCCTAATTTCTTCTCCCTGAACTCAAATTCTGAACTCCCGTAATTCCTGCATCTGTTTATTTACTTTCTGGTTTGTATTCTTTTAGCTGGGTTTATTAACATACTGTATTTTTCTCCCCTGTTCAACAGTATGTGCATTGCATGTTTAAGCTCTCATTTATAGTCCATATTTGCTTTCTGTGATACCGTTATGTTGAAAATCAATAAAAAGGCAATTTAGGGAAAAAAAATATGATTTTCTCTGAAGTCTAGTTAAGGAAGCTGCCAATAATTAACAAGGGAGACCAACCCTGCTGCCTGGAAGCCCTCAGATTTCTTACTGACTTCAGTAGGATTTAGTGGGGTCCATGGACTCCAGACCGTTAATCCTTTGTCATAGCTGGGAGCTGGGCCTGTGCAAGAAAATTAGGCTTAGCTCTGTGCAAATCAGTTCAACTCCAGTAAAAAGGAAAATGCTCCTGGCCTTCTCCTCCAGATACGAAATATAAGAATATGATTTTGTAATTCCAGTTCCTGACAGAAAGGAGCTCTAAAATATCCATTTAAAAGGCATCAAGATTTTTTTTGGTGCTTAACTTGGCAAATCCCCACTTCTAGTACGTCCTGCAGGCTGGACAGCTGGGAGGGAGTGACCCAGAGCCACAGCAAACTTTGGCATTGGGGTGTGCAAATGTCAGGGTCTACACAGCACATCAACAGCACAGGTGATTTGAAAGCTTCAAGTTTGGCAGACATGGAAATTCCACGTGAGGGAACTTGCTTCAAATTTGACTTGAAATGTGCACAGCTCTACACAGCTTTTGGGGGCTTTTTTTCCTCCCCCAAAAAGCTGAAAATAATGCATTAAATAAATGTTTCAATAGACAACTGGCACTGTGTGGTGAACAGAACTGTACCTGCAGTTCTGTCTACCCCACGCACTAAGTGCACAGATAAATGCGTTTTAATAATTTATTATCATTTATCTTCAGTGCAGCTCTATTATGCTTTTCACTCTTGCTGTAAATATGTAAAATGCTGTTAATCAACCTTTGTTAGTGAATATTTGATTAATAGGTAGCAGATGTACTTGCCCCTGTGTATACTGCATTAAATGCAATGTACCAACACATAATTCATTATTTTAATAACACACTGGGCTAATAAATCAAAGGAACGCTTGAGAATGCAACAGCCAGAATTACCAAAGGAATAGCTGTTCATTGTTTTAAAAGAAATAAATCTGTGCATTGTTTTAAGTCTGGTGGGGACTTAGAAATCAGCTACCTGTGAGCCCTAGTATCACATTCCTATGGGGATGACTAAGGACTAGCAAAGAACCGCTCATTTCTCCCAACCCCCCTTCTGTTAGAGAGCAAAAATCAATCCCAGACCCGAAGACCTTACAAATCCAAAGAGACAGGATGAATAAAGGGTGAGGAAAAGGAAGAGCAGGTCCTGATGAGCACACAACACGATGTCTGCAAACACCCTTTTCACTCTGTGATGCGTGCAGTTGTCTAATTTCAGTCTTGCCAGTGGGTTCCAGTTAGGGAGGTGAGAGCTGCCCAGAGAGACCAGAGGAGAGGGAGGATGCTGCAATAAAAAGCCAGACAGAAAGAGGAGAGAAGAGTAAGTCAGAAGAGGTGTAGGGAGCAGCCAGATGACCCCATCAGTGTCCATCAGTGCCTGCCCAAACTGCTGCACGTTGTATTGAAATGTACAAGTGATGCTCACTTTGAGCAACCTGCTGTTTTCTTGAATGGGCAATCACCCAAGTTCTGTGTTCAAAATCTTTACTCAGTGTTAAGTGTTGACATCCTCATGTGACAGCTGCATTACTGAACAAGTCCCTTTTGGTGACACGTGTCATTCAGTTCCTGAAATCCTGTGCAAGTTGAATAGCTCCATGGGGGAGGCCAATATTGATTCAGGGTTAGTTGCAATTACAGTGCCAAGGCAGACAAAGATGAGGTAGTTTTCACAAATTCAAAGACTAAGCCAAGAACGGAGCTTAAATTCCATAAGTCCCACGGGAGCGTTTTCTCCTTCCTCAGCACTGCCCATTTCTAACAGAAAATATTTCTTATTTCTGATAGTATCAAAGTTGTGGGTATGTTTAATGGCAAGTGCTATACTCTATATATAGTACATATCCACCAGCACAGTTGTGCATGTGATTTACTATTCACTGATACAGTTCACACACTGCTTATTTTTGGTGACCTTGGCAATGTGTTTGATTCAATAAGGGATTATCAGTTTTGATAGGCCTTATATTTGATTCTGTAGCTTGGTTGAAAGCTACACTGCTTTGCATTGATTTCCATGTGCAATTAATACGTTTTGTCAGCGACAAATGCGTGCAGAGATAATATACTCCACTCATTCTGAGCTCTCCTGTGTTCATTTCAAATCAAAATAGCACCTGGTGGCCGAGCCCTCCTGAGAAGTGGTGGATTTAATATGGAGAAGTAGCATTAAGAATTGCTTGCATAATATTATAATAATTTTCAGTAGTGAAATAACAAAAAATTCCCTAGAAATCCGAGTAACTCAAAAGCTTAGACACCTTCAAATCAACACTGTGGTTAAATGGCTCTGTTGTACTGGGTCATGCTCATACAACACAACTGAATGTCAAATTAGATGAATAACACAGGAAATGAGCCCCTGAAATGTGTAGTGTCTTCACTCTGATATTCCTTCGAGACGTGACCCTTGCACAGCTAACAGATAACATCAGGGTATGTGGTCATATTGATATCCTGAATGGAAGCTGGCTCTGAAATGGGATTTGAGCTCCTTGAGGACGTGTCATCTCTTACTCTGAGTTTGTTCAAAACAGGAAAAAAAACCCCTGAAATTTCTTTGAAGTCTCAGAGATCTTATAATTAACTTTGTGAAATATTTAATCTCGGTGTTTCTGACTTAATGCAGTTGTATCTTTTTGACAGGTGTCATTCAACATGTAATCTAAAAATCATAGCTACCTGAAACATTTAGTTCGTACTTCAAGACAAACAGATGTTTCAGCCTTATTCAACTGATTTTTATCTGCAGTATTCAAGAGATCAATATGTGTTCGTGAAGAGCTTCAATTCTGTCAAATCTATGTTTTCAGACATAAGACTTTTCCATTTAGAAGCACAGTGGTCTCTTGGATGCTGGAAACTTTTTCATCTGCCCAGCATAGAAATGGACCATGACTGACAAGAGTGTTTCAGTACTACTCCTGTCAGACTTCACAGAGTGGAGACTATTAGAATATAGATCAAAATTTCAAAAACATCCAAATAAAAAAAGGTGCTTTGTAGGATTGCCTTTGATATTTTATAGCACTCCCTTTAGAGCTGCAGTTCACATGAACCTTTAATTCCTGATAGATAGGAAAAAATAAAACTGGTGTTGAAAGCTAGACCACAAATAAATAATAATAATAGTGATGATTTAAAAAACCCTCTCTGCCTCTTTTTAATCTGTTTATATTCTTACAGAGCTGTTGTTAGTACAATTGCATCTGACTGCCTCTGAAACAGTAATGGATGATGTCTTCACTGTGCAGCAGTGCAACTGGAAATGTTATTCCCAGTTTGCTGACAAATATTCAGAAAAAAAGGTAGAAAAATGGGGAGGTTTATCTCACATAACTTTAGACATATGAAAAATAGATTTCTGGTCTAAATAAACTAGACTCCCTCTACATTCAGTAAAGAGAAAGGGACTTTTAGCGGGTGATTTATTCCACTTATTTCAAGAGGTATCATTTGTCTTGTGGAGGCAGCCGAGACAACTCACACAAACAGCCAGCATTCAGAGACTGATCTGGGAATCAAAGGAATCTGCACAATTAAAACAAGGTCTCCAGGGCTGTAGTCCAGTGATGAAGCTATAAATGCCATCATGAAGTGGTTAAATGTTGCTACTTGGTTAAATTTTCCTTTCCCCTGCTGTGGTACCTGATCAGCCCTGGAGAGCAGGTCTGTTGAAGTGTTAACTCTTGTACTCCGTGATCTTGAAGGTCCTTTCCAGCCTAAACGATTCCATGATTCTCTCATTATCCTCTTGCATTCCAGTGCACACCTATAGCAACTAATCACAGTCACCACTTCTCTGAGAGTCTCATATCCTGTAACCCTCGGAGCAGAGTAACTAAATTAGGTGGGGTATTTACCAAATCAGGGTATAAATGTTCCATCTGCTCTTCCAAGCCCTCTGCTTCCACACTGAAAGAAAAACTACACCTCTGCCAAGCTTTCTCATTCATTTTGCATTCAGAGATGTTTTATTGGCTGCATTTACCCATGCTCTTTGAATCTTTCTTCATTAGCAGCCTCTGGCATCTGACAGGTAATTTGCCTGCCTACAGCTTCCTCTATTAACACTGCCTTTAGACTGAGCACATGGAAGGAAATGGCTGTTGTGCCATTTAATGCAGTATCTGCCCCTCATCTGTTTTCAGTCTGTCCTGTCCTTCCCACCTTTTTCCCGTGCCAGGACTGGGAGGAGGGGGAGCTTCTTACGCTGGTGTGGATGTTTCTATTGCACAGATGTTTGTCCTAAACCACTTTGTGCTGCTTGTTATTCAGAAACATTATTTCTGCAGATGTTCCTATCGCTCTGCCCTCCCACCTTTGCCTCTGTCCCTCTCTCGTGCATGAACAGATTGCAGTGAATTTTTTCCTTTTTTCCCCTCCAGAAAACTAAATCCCAAACCAGCCCTCTAGGTTTCCTTTACTTATTCCTGAGCAGCAGTTCATCCAGGCATATGGCTCTCTCTCTCCTTCCTCACTGCTTGGACAGATGTTTTCTCTTGACTAAGTACATTCTTAATCCTTGAGAGAAATGAGAAAACTTGCATGATTTGTTGAGAAAAAGCCCATTTTGTTCCTGATCCAAACTGCTTCACAGTCCCGTGTTCCTTTGTTGCCGTGATTTTCATATCAAAACCAGTCAATATAACAAGACCAGGAGGTTTGTTCTGAGCCCCAGCGTGGAAGGTGCTCTGCAAGAACTCAACAAGAAAGATTTCCCTCTGTTTGAAATAGCTTCTACACACGAAAGGACAGCAGGCACTGTAACAACCAGATGAGAGGATCCAAGGTGGAGATGAGACTCCTGTGCTCCACAAATTAAGCAGTGGTCAGAGCAACCCCACTGCCTAATTATAATGATTGGTTTATAGGTGAATGTTTGAGAGATAAGAAGTTATTAGTAATAAATGTCTGATTAGCAGGCAGAAAATGCTGAAGGTATATTTAAACAATCAGGCTCAAACCTTTGAAATTATTTCTGGGCCATGTTAAGGTCAGCATTAGCAGTAGTTTTTCGAGAATTCATTTTCTGGTATATTCATCTGTTATTGAGGAAAAAGGAATGTTAATATATTTCCTGCTTGTGTGGAAACATACTTTCTTACAATGACATGATTTCTATTTGCTCTTAATTTCTTCATGTAACGGGCTGTTTCTCACACTGGCATTATGATGAGAAGGTACTTGTGCGTGCAAGAAAATATGGAAAAGTTTCCCCCAACTAGCAGCAGCTGAGGGCTGAGTGTCCATGCACATGTGCAGGTCTTTTTATTCTTGTTGTCTGTCTCTGTTACAGACTTATAAATGAATGAAAGGGTCTGTCTCTGAACCCTTCATTCTTCGCTGCTTGCTATATCTGTTCTTAAATTAATGATTACAACCAAGATTTTAATATGATACCCTTGTCTTTCTCACCACAAGCATCCCACACACATTCACACCTCCCACTGTGACAGCTGAAGGAGCAAGAATGAGCACAGCCCCAGTGTAAGCAGAATCAAAGAGATTTATTCAAGGGTTATACAGTTTTTGACGCAAGAAACTCTTCTTGTGACAATGGGCTGTTGGCTAACATTCAAGGTGATCTTCCCTGAGCCTCATTAAGCTGTCTTCTGTAGTTAGGTTTAAAATGGGAGGCTGGTGGCTTCCTTAGCTATCTGAGAGAAGAAAGGATGAGATTCATCTCTGCTTGCAGTTCTTTTATGGCTGAGTAAAGTGCCCTGACTGATATTCAGAGTGACTGAATGCAGAGTGAAGAATGCTGGCTCCAGTGAAGCCGACACAAGAGATATAAACTCTGCTGAATTAGCTCTTCAAATATTTTGAAACCCTGCTGTATTAATAGGCTTATTTTTCAGTGTGACCCTGAAGAGCCCCAAAAGAGTATGGATGTGTTTGAGGCACGCAGTAAAAGGGATGGAGAGCTTCACTTTTTCCGGGTACTAGAATCAGCAGGGCTGCTGCTGTGACCTTCAGATCTGGCTGGGAATAAGAGCTTTAGACTAGAATGAGATCTTATTTAATGTGTGGGCAGGAGGAAAAGCTTTTATAGGGAGAACCTTGGTGGTCTGTGGGGTTCAACAGCACTTGAGCTGTCTGAAGGATGAGCCCTCAGATTTGTGATTTTTTTTTTTTTTCCTGTCTTTGGTTCCTAAAAGCATCTAGAAGAGACAGAATCATGAAGGGTGACATTAGCCAACATTACCAAATCCCAGTCATTGCCAGATTCTCTTCACCTCTTTAAACAACTGAGACAGTGGAGCTGAAGGAAATGCGTGTCCCAAGATTTTAAAAGCCTCCTTCTTTTCAAGCACTGCATGCAGTGTCTGTTTCAGATAGAGAATTCCAAGAATAAGGGATAAGAATGAATACACAGGGAGAGTAGAGAGGCAGCGTGCTGGCCCTGGGCCTGAAGCAGAGAAAGAGCACTCAGAATAAACCCCACAGACAGACAGAAACTGGTATTCTTTGTATTGAGTGTTGCCTTTCTGCTTGAGGGAGATATGGGTTTGTGGTTTTTTTTTTTGCTGTTCCTAATATCATTCTCAAACATGACAGTTCATCTCCCCTGTGCCCTTCCTGGAGCCACCGTCAGGGTGTCGTGCTGGAGCTTTAGGCCAAGAGGGGTTCTTTGGGCTTTCATTTTGAACGTCTGAAGTCAGATGTTCTGTTTCAGCTGCCTGTGTTTTCTGGAATTCACATTCTCTCTTTTCACCGTTCGTGGCATGTATTTAAAGCAGCAGGAACTGCAAATATGAATTATGGTGCAGGTACCTGACTCAGGTAACCCCTCTGAAGTCAGCTGAATGTGCTGCACTTGCAGAGTGGGGCACATGACGGATTCAAAGACACAGAAACTCTCCTCGGAAGAATTATTCTTATCCTCCAAATATTATTTATTTGGGTCGGAATTGGTCTCTTCAGCTACAGTGACATTCTTCAAACCCCAGCATTGTGATACAGTGTTGCACTTTTATTAAACCATAATACTGGTAGATTGTTTTAAGCCTCACGCTGTGAATCTCTTGCAGATGAAACGCTGCAGCAGGGATATCTGGCGTGATAAGGAGATTTGAGGATGCTTTCCTTCAGAGCTTTATCACTGCAACGGTCTGGAGGGTCTGGGTGATTGAAAAGCAGCAAGTAAATAAAGCCCCATCTATTACATCCCCAAGTGCTGGGTATTGGGTGGTGGGGAGGAATGTTTAAATGATCATGTGAGGCTAAACGGTGCTTCACGGACTGACTGACTGAAACAGCATCCTAATCAAACCTGACAGCTCTATTGCCTTATAATTATAAGCTGCCAGAGGCGCTTTTTAGACTATCAGTACTTTTGGGATAGTTTGCATCTAAATTAAAATTGAACTTCAAAGCGGTTTGATGGAGATGTGTTTCCAAGGAGTTTCAAAAATGTGAAAGACACTAACTGATTAGCATGATGCACTGTACCAGCTGGTTGCTACTGTAAAAAAAATAAACTAAAAAGTAGCAGCCATGCTAATAATCAGAAAGTGTATCTTGAATCCTATTAATTTTCTTTTCTTTTGAATTATTTATGGGGGGTTTTGTTCCGGTCGTGCACTTCCTTTCAAATGTTTGTTTAGTTTCTCTGTAAAGAAAAAAAAAAAAAATGGGGAGGAAGAGAGAGGAATCTGGAAAATCTCCAAGGGTTAGCTCACCAGCAATCTGTTTAGATGTCCTCTTCTCAACTGAGCCCTGCTCTGCTAAATATTTATGGCAATGTTTAACAAATAAATCTCGCCCACCTCCCCATTTACAGTAAAGGAGAAGATAGAACTGCTTTAAGGGGGGATTGACTGATGTTTTTTACCACGAGGGGGGAAAGAAATTCCATGAATATATGTTAATATCTGGGAAAAGAAGCCAAAACACAGAACTGCAAGCGCAAACATCTGCCTGTCCGCATTACAGGTGTTCTGCCCGAAGCTTTATTTCTGATCCCATCTCTAGATAACAACAGCAGAAAGAGTTCACAGCTCCCCAGTGCTTCCTTTTTCTTGTCCTGTTGTATGAACAGTAATTGGAAGCAGCAGAGAGATTCTCAGGACCAGATCCTGGCTGCTGCTCCCTGCACACGTCGCTTGGCACCTTGTCCAGCCAGACTCGGAATGTGCTGCAGGGCAAGCTCTGTGCTGGAGGGAGGGAATGGGGCCCTGGCCTTCTGGAGCATTTAGAGACCTAAATCCAGTTCAGGTGGTTTCCACTGATTCCAAATGGAGGTTAAATTTTCTAAATGTCCACGTGTTTCTGTGCCAGCTTCTCATCAGCCCTCGTGCTTTGATGTGAAGAATTCTGTAACAAAGACCTCTTTTGGCTTAATTGTTTTTGTTATGCCTCACCACCTTTTGCTGGATTCACCCAGCTCCAAATCCTTTAAGGGATGCCTGGTGAGGCAGAACACAGTATGTCTCTGTCCAGCAGTGTCTGTGTCTGAATTCTTCATAAGAAAATCAAATCACCAAGATACATAGATTATATTTTTTCCAATACATTTATTCCTGGCTGAAAACAGTGACTAGATGGAGCACTTATAGGGGGGATTTACAGGACTTTAAAATTTTATTGAGTTTCATGGCTGTAGGAGAAAGAAATGCCAGTTGCATAATTCAGGAATGTACAGCTTGGCTTCTGTGTTTCCAATACTGTCGATCGGTATCTGTGGGCCCTGTCAAGATTTTTCTCAGGATACTGAATCTCTGTGAATGCCTCCACACTTATCTGCCTGCCTGTATTCTGCCAATCTGTACAAATGTGGTGCATGCAGAATCCATGTAAACAGCTTGTGCTGGGGAATTTTGAAGTTCACTCACCATTAGAGCAATTTTTAATAGACAACTTTTTTAGCAAAAATGTCTAACCTTTTCTGTCCTGATGGATTGATTCCCACCCTGACACCCAGTGTGTTAGGAATACCTTTTCAAAAAAGACAATGTTTCTTTTGGAGTTTCATTACCATTACTTTCTTCTGTGGCTGACTTTGGATGTTTGTGTTTATTCATGATAATTTATTCATTACTTCATTTGCAGATAGTGCATGTAGTTAATAGCATATAGGAACTCCTTCCAAAAAATTCGAACCTGTTAAATGAAAGTACCCTTCAGGACTGCACCATCCCTATTTTCTAAGCCAGAGCCTTTATTCTCACAGAATTGATCTGCAAAGTTTCCCAGGGAAAGAGAGATGGCCAGAACCCAATGCATCTTTCATGAAACGTTTTCTGAGAAGTTATTTACTGTTTTACCAGAGAAATGTTGAAGATTCATCAGGTATCTTTCAGAAACGATGCTCTTCATTTTTATCAGAGCCAAATGGATTTGCAGAAGTACAAAAGCAACACAGGCCTAACTTGTCCACCCATCACTGTAGGTGCACATGTGGCCAGGTATTCCATGTACTGTGACCAAAATCTGGGCTCCTTCAGCTGCAGGCCTTTTAATATTCACCTTTATTGAGGGCAAATAGTGAGGGGCTTAACAACACAAGCTCAGATTTCAGTGGCAGCTTTGTCAGCTCTAATTGCAAGTTAGGATGCTGAGCACTTGAGCCTGGAAAGATTAAAGATACATGCTTAGCCTCCCTAGTGCTGACTGGATCCCTAAATAAGGAGTCCTAGACAGGGCTGGCTTACAGTACACACAGACACACGTGTGTCCTGCTGGATTGCAGATGTTGGGAGTACCTGCTAGTGTTGGTGCCCAGAGATCATTCATAAACCAGTGCATTCCTCCTTAGATCTCACTTCAGAGCCCATTTGAGAGCTGCTTCATGGCAGACAGCTCTCAGACAGACAGAAGTTGTTTCTTGCCCAGTTATCTTGTTTTTTTTTCTCTCGGCTGACACAGATTCTGTGACCCACTAGCACAGCAGGATTTTATTCTTCCTAATTCCAACAGTGTATTTACTGTGTAGAATTAGCACCACAAATCACTGCTGTGGAAGCTCTTTTCACCAGGAAATGACAAGTTATTAAAGAAAAACACTTGAAGACATTTAAACAGAAAGCTGGTATTCCCATTTACCCCTTAACAACATTTCAGCTGCTCCCAGAGACAGGATGAGGTAATGTTTCTGGAGCCTCTCTGCTCATTCTCCCTCCTCCACCTGCTTTCCTCTCTCTCACTTACCACATGGAAATTCAGAACATTTCCCCAAAAATAGAGTTCAGATCTGAAGGCTGGGTATGTATGTGCTGGTAGCTTGCAGTTCTTGACATACTTTTGGTGGCTTCAAAGAGCACCTGCCAACTGCTGGCCTGGAAGCAGCCAGACCAGCTCAGAGCTGCAGGATCTGAGAAGCACCATCCTGTAGAGCCTCCTGCCTGCTGAAAGCCATTCAAGTCCAAGGCACTGCAGAGCTCTGAAATGGTGATTTTTACATAAGTCTGTCCAGCTGGGATCATATCTTGCTCCCTCTTCCCACTCTGGTAGTTCACTTTTGCAGTGATTTACCTGCGCTTCTCCCTACTCAAGACTCAGCTTTGGGAATAAGCCCCGGTTGAGAGAAAGACAGAAGGGAGTTTGTGTGGAAATTCCCATGTGCCAGGGTTGTTTTTACTGTGGCACATCCCCTTTTCCTATCTGCTTTCCTTTCTGGTTAGGCAGTTCAAGGGAAAACCAACATAAAAAGCTGTGGTTGGAAAGGTGTGTCCCTGTCCTTTTGCCCAACATACTCCTGAGTGCAGTGGAGATACGTGGAACGTGCACAGATCCTGTTCCTTTTGGAACCTCTGTTTCACTGAGGAAAACAATCCTCAGGTAAATGTTTTAGCTAATAGCAGTTTTAAAGAAAATAACTGGTTGTTGTTCAACTGATTAACACCCTTTATACTCAGATCCTACGCTTTTGATTTCTATAGCAATTTATTCATTTATAAAACACTTTTTTTCAAGCAGAGGTCTGTATGTACTCATAAAATGATATCATAAACATGATTACTCTTGCAAGGAAGGACCGGAAAACCTTTGCTACCTCTTTGAATACAAATAGAACTGGAGGATGAGTCAAACTCGTGGTTAATTAACTGCTTGTAACAGGATTATTTGCCTTTTAGGGGGAATGTTTGCTCTAATTGAACCTGGATAAGTGACTTTTAGACAGCTAACATGTATAAAATATATCACAGTGGTGTAACTCTCTATTCCTGTTGGCATCATCCAAGATTGAGTCCTCGGGAACATATGGAGTGCACTGAGTGAGAATAGATTCAGTGCTGCTCTTCGTGTCTGCTGGCTGGGAAGTAATTGCAGCAGAAAAAGAAGAAACCACCAACTTGTACTGGCATGTTCTTCTGCCTGCTTAGATTTATAAATGTAAGTACCCATGGCCAGCAAAGACTTGGCAATAAGTGAATGCTGACTTCAGGCAGCTATTCCTGAATGAGATGTGGTGGTGACAACATATTCTTGTGTAATTTGGCTGCAAAGAGTTGCTATGAATCTATTCCAAAACAGTGAAATAGCTGTTGTCCCCAGAAGTTTTCTGGCCTGCTATGGCACATAATTAAGCAATTTAAGATGTTTTGGTGATTACTGTAGCAAACTTGGTCTGAAGTGCTCTCAGCTGGTTTGCTGGTCAGACTTTCAGTCTGACCGAGAATAAACTGTTCAATCTCACTGTGCCAGACAGGAGTGTTTGTGAGGATGCATTGGTAGGTCTGCAGGAGGCACATGGATACCATGGCCATGGATAATGCATAAAATAGCACGACAGTTACAGCTTGGAACTGGCAGATATTTCACCAGGTGGAGTTTCCCAATCGGAGGAGAACATTTACCCACACCGTGGGAAGAACTGCAGCTTGTGTGTGAAAGCTGTGGCAAGGTGTGCTTACAAAGCCATCACAGAAAATGAAGGAAACAGTTTTCTTGTGTGATGGCAGGTTTGTGCCACGATCATAAACCAAAAAAATGTGCGTCTGCATTTTGGGTGGGTTGATGTTGGCAGCTGCTAGATGCCCACCCAGCCATTCTCACTCCACTTCCTCAACAGGACAAAGGAGAAAGAGGGAAAATCATGTGGCTCGATATACAGACAGGGAAATGACTTGAAAATCATGTGGAATGGTGGACTGTGGTCAATACTCCATCATTTTGCTCTCTAAACAGCCATTCCATGTTCCTGTAGGAGCACTGTATGGATTTTTTTTTTCTCTCTATAGAAATTATAGGAAATAAGGGAGCTCTGCTGATTGGGACTCAGAGCCCCTGAATGATTGATTTGAGAGTGCTTTGTCCTCAGGGGTTCTCTGATCTTAACACTGAATGCTGATGGGTAGTAATGTGCTATCCTAAGGAGTGAGGTACTGTCAACTTCACATCTCAGAAGAAATTCCAGATGCTTTGGAAAAACAGTGGTGCAGCCTCAGCCCAGGGAAAACTGAGCTTGTTAAAGGTCTAAGATTTAGATGCTAGACAAAGTCACGATTCAGACTTTCAGTTCCACCAAGATGAATTTATAAGGAAAATACAGATGATTGATGGAAGCATTTGTTTACAGGAGCAGGTTGTTGATGATAAAATCAGAGCTGGGCCCCAAGTCTGCTGTGGTTCTCTAAAGCTCGTCCAAATCCAGTGACATGCTCTGAGTAGGGAGTCTTTGATGTTTTCGATAATCTGGCTTTATAGAGCAACTCATCTCAAAGGCAGGTAAGAAACCAAAGCCTGCAAGTCAATTTTCTTGAAACAGTCAAACATTCCCATTTGGGAATGCGACTGTCACAGCATCCTTAGCAGTGTGCTGGAGAGCATCATGTTCTGGGGAGCAAGTTCAGAGTGCTGATAAAGACAAGGAGATCAGAGGAGCCCATGAACGTATTCCAGGTAATGGATGGATACCCAGGGGACCATCAGGCATTTTGGGTTCAGTTCACCTCACAATTTACCATTAGAAGCTTCTCCAGCCGAACACCCGCTGGATCTGAAATGCAGAAGAAAGAAATGAGCAATAGGAAGAGGGAGCAGAGCCTTTCCTTTGAGTATGGAAATTATTCTTCAAATGTCTTTGTTGACAGCTGGCGTGGCACAAAATAAACACAGGTCTATTTGCAAGTAAGCAGGAATTAGCATAAACAGCAGCTGCTGTATTACCAGAAAACACGTAACAATAAAGAATTTTTTTTTCTGCCTTCAGAAACAAAGGCAGGTAAAAAGCCTGCATGAAATAATGCGTTAGTTAACCACCTGTTAAAGTTCCGAACACCAACAAAATGGAAGAGCTATTTGTTGATGACATAAGTATTTTCCCGAATCAAGCACTCTAATTGAAACTGAACCTATCCTTATGATACAGAAAATCCGTTGCAGTATCAAAAATATCTTCTTTCTCAGCCCTCCTCTCTCCCAAATCAGGGGATTTCCTACACTTGCCTTTTCAGTTGCCTTCTTGCTGCATCTAGATACTAGTTGGAAATTTTTCTGTGGTGGTTTGGATGTAATTCCTTACTCCTTCTCCAGCTGCATAGGAAGGCAAGTCAGGCCATGTAATTGTATTTATGACCAGATCACATTCAGCAGGATAAGTTTATGGTCTTTTGTCTCTATTGCTTTCCCTGGTAAAAGCTAGTTAGTGGCCTACTCAACAGCATTGCCACATATTAATAAAAACTAACGATCCAACACAGTGCAATGCAGAAACAAGAGAAGAAGCCATTTTAAGTGCATAATTTTAGGTTGATGATGCTTGAATTTATAGCCCAATCTCTCTCCCATGGAAGGTGGCTTACCTGTCCGATTAACTTGCCAGTGTAAGTCGTGCACTCAGCCATCTGCAGGTTCTGTAGATCCACTTATCTAGATTTGCTTTGTACTTCAGCACCGTGATCCACATCTGGTTTGCATTTGTTTGGAACTGCAGTTATTTGTCTCTGGATTTTTTCTGCAAATAGGATGTTTTTTTAAAAAAATAAAGACACGCTAAATAAAATAGCCCTGTTTAGAGTTTATATGGAGAGTTATATCTACAAAAAGTCAGTTTAACATCAGGCCCAATACACAGTGACTTGAAATCAGTGTGTATTTCATCAGTAAGTTTTGGTTCAGAATGGTTCTGTCAGATCTTGATACTGTTTCTTAGCAGATGATTCACTTTGTTTCATAAGTCAATAAAATTAGCTGAGTAAAATATTACTTACACTCCATCAGAATCTGACTAAACAGACATCCAGTGCTTGGGAGGAGCTTGAAGGGTTGTGTTTATGGCCATGTAAAAAGTCGGTGTCAGTACCAGGGTGAGAGTTTAGGAATTTCTTCTCTGAGGTCCCACGTTCTTTTCATCCTTTCCTTTCTGACTATTTGTAAGATTAAAAATGTGTTTTGAGTGGGGTTTTTAATATCAATAGACACTTTTTTTTACTGATAAAAGATTTTTGACAGTATTTTGTGTGGGAAGAGTTGTGTGGCCTACGTGGAATGTTTGAGAAGCAACACATTCTTCATTTGGTCACAGTTTTGTAGTATCTCTTCTGTTTCCACTGGCAGCTTCTGTTTTCAAGGTAACCATATTTCAAAAGTGTGGTATCATTTTCGTGAGTGAAATACTTTGGAAGCTTTTGAAATGAAAAACATACAAAAATTTGCCTCAGTAAGTTTCTTTAATGAGCAGAGAACATCAGGTCTCTTAATTTTCTTACATGTTGGGCCAAATTTTCTTCAATACCAGTTATTAAAAATAAATTTGTTTGTTGTTTGGTTTGGGGTGTTTTTTGTGTTTTGGTTTTGTTTGTTTGTTTGTTTGTTTTTTGTTTTTGTTTTTTGAAGAAGTTAAAAATCCTCAGTTATTTACATTATAGATGGAGACATCAGCATCTCAGACACAGAAATCACAGTAATTTTATTGTGATACCATTCACAAAGGTGTGGGGGTTTCCTACAGTTTTATTTTTTAATTCTTTTTCTCTCTGAAAACATTTCATCCACTGTATCTGTCTGCTACTTATCTTTATATCTGAAAAGGTGTCTGGGCATATAAGTCTGTATAATCCTTATTCTATGTCTGCCTAATAAACTGAAATGTGTGAAGTCCCAAAGCAGACCTCACTGCGGTCAAAGGCTATTTTATTTTAGGTGAGAACATTTTTTATCTCTCTCTCCTTACACTGATTTGGACTCTGACTCTTCCAGCCCCTCAGCTTCATGGAGCTGCTCTTGGATAAAGTAGTTTGCAAAGGAGCAAGAGTATCATCCTTTGGTCTCCTTGACTTACCAGTGGCAACAGCAGTTGAATAAGATAAATCTCAAGTCAAAATGGGGGACATTTGCCTTTCCTGTTCCTATTTTATATCAGGCAGACATCAATTTGATACCAGATTTAAGTTCAGACTGAAAATAGAAGAGTTAAGATCTTGCCAGATTAAGGTTTTCTCACTATACAGGAGAGATAAAATATTCTAGGTAGGAAAATATGTCAAGGTGTGGGAAGGGTAGCAAGAGAACTAGATAAAACCTGAATTCACCGAGGATACTGAAGTTTTCCTTTTGATTTTAGTAAGTCCAGCATGTTACACTTGGATTTAATTCTTCAGTGGACTCCCTGAAAGATCTGATGTGATTCAGCATGGACAGGGTTGACATCTGTTTCCTGCCTCTGTTACTTGCCTGATTCTTTCCTCCCACGTAAGATTGGTGGGAGAATAATCACTTTGGTGATTTGTTGGGGTCAGAGATGACACTGCTACATAAGCAGATACAACACAGTAGGAATACCAATGTGATCTGTGTCTGGACACTGGTTTTCTCTTCAAAGGGAATCTTGTTCTGAGGTCTTTTCTTTGGTCTCTCTTTTCTTTTTTTTTGTCCCACCTTCTCCCCCACAATTGCAGGGCTCTATATCAAACAATAAAAACCTTGTGCTTTTGGATCTCAGGCAGCTGAGCTCCTCTGCCCACCCATTTACCTGTCCTTCACTCCTGCACTAGAAGAGGAATATCAAATTAATTTTTTTCCCCACATCAATTTTTTTGCAGTTTCAGCTCTTCTACAGATTCCACCAGATTCCACTGACTGTCATTTTGTAAATTTGGATCTGTTCATGACTTTGTATATGACTCTGTGTATGACTTTGGATAAGTTTGTTGACAGCTTTGTGCCTCAATTTACTTTTCAATAACAAACAATGTTATTTATTGCTGTTCTTGGACATTTGCTGAACTGCCATTAGGAAATGCCCCCATGGAGCCTGTTGCTGGTTTTAAAAGTCCTTCCAGCTGAGTTGGAGATTTATTCCTTCCTGCCAGCAGAAATCAGGGAAGTCTCCCCTCTTGCTGCATCTCAAGGACGTTCAGTTTCTTATTAGCACAGGAAAAACCCACAGCAAA